TAAATATTTATTTTAGTTCATTTCAGCTCAATTCAATTCAATTCAGTTCAATTCAGCTCTAATTTAAAAGAGTTTTATTTTCTTTTGCAATAAGTCTATATTTTCAAAATAAAATAAAAAAATAATAATAATACGGAGGAACAAAAGAAAAAGCGCATTAATGATTGATGTAGCTCTCCTCGTGTTGCCTCGCGCGTCATCCCTAAGCTTACCATGTGTGCAAACTGCTAAAAGTCAGTGTCCCCAGCTTATTTTCAATCATGGACAAAATATTTTTCTCTCTTTTGTTTTAACTTACCTTATGGGGGTGTTTGGTAAGTGGGAATTGGGGTTTGGGAATGGGAATTGGGGTTTGGGAGTATGTAATGCTTTGTTCGTTTTGTGGGAAGGGGAATTGTAGATGGGATTGGGAATGGGAATAGAATTGGTTTATTCCCATGATTTTATTACGCGGGGGGTGGGTGGGGGGGGGCAAGTAATAGAGATGTGGATTGGAAATACATAGAAAAAAATCATTTTGCCATTAATGAAAACATAAGGATATAATATTAGTAAAGGTATTATTGTAAAATTACTAGCTACTTATTCCCAATCAATTCCCTTCACACTTAACAAGGGATTGTCAATATTTTATTGAATTCCCAACTATAAATCCCAATCCCATTCCCGACCCTCTAATTCTCAAATTCTCATTCTCACTTGCCAAACGCCCCGTATATGTTTACCAATCATTATTCCATTACGGAGTACCCCGTCGGCCCATCCGTTTTAAAAAACTTACTTCACTTTTCTTTTTCGACCGTTTTTAATTACTTGCTTCATTTTCTTATTTGAAAAGATTTTACAATATTTAATTCATTTCTTTAACTTAATGGACCCAACAAAAATCATATTTTATTAATTTTATATTCTCTCCACTACTTTTGCTTTTTACAATTTTTTATTCTTTCACCTACCCCACTATCTGAGAGTGAGGGATAGCTCAAGTGGTTAGAGCTCCCCTCCCGATTCTAAGAGATCTAGCGGGATCGATTCTCATTCCCCGCCCTTGTGGCTCTCTAAACACCAAAAAAAAAAAACCTACCCCACTATTTTTATTAGTTTATCCAATATCTCCTAAAACTCCGCGCATTGAGAAATAGAGCAAGTATTTAAAAATGAAGGGAGTATTTATTTGTTTGAAAGGTACAGCCGTACAACACACGATAAGTCCATAACACCAAGCCGGCAAGCTTGATGGCAAGGCTGTTGAGCGATTTTAGGGGCCCTGTACTAGATTTTAAAAAGGGGTCCTTAATAATTTTAAAATTACACTCCATTCATTTTTTTTATCTAACTACTATTTAGGTAATGCACAATTACCCTATACGTTACAAAAAGAAAATGGGTTCCTATAACAAATACGGAGTATTTAATAACACAAAATCAAGTTCGGATATTATATTCAAGTTGATAATAGCAACTAAATACAATTCAAAACTAATATATATCAGCTTATTAGCTTAAATCAATTTTATCGACTTATTCTAATACTCGTACTTGCCTCTCTAATTTTAGAAGATTTTAACCTTCGCATATATATATATATATATATATATATATGCTTCAATTAAAGAAAATATATAATATGCTTCAATTAAAGAAACTAATTGACATAATCAAAACTAGAAAAAAAACAATAAAAATTACGTACAATCAAACAAAGGATAGGCAAATAAGGAATAACTCAAATGAGTCAAATGGGTAATTTACTAAGTCTCAATTCATTTTTGTTTGATTGTGTATCAATTAGGAATTAGATGATTGAAGAATGATGAAAGAACGTTAACCCATATATTTTGTAAAAATAATAAAAAAAAATAATAAGATGGGCAATAAAAAATAATTATATGGGTTAGTATGCCATTTGATAAGAATAATTGAAAATCAAATTTAATTACTCCTTACCATTGTTATGGAAGAATAAAAGTTTGAATTTGGCTACAATGCCTACAAATTATATTTTTTTTTCAATTGAAAATTCTTGAATGGAGGAATAAGTAAGTACAATCTATATCTATACTACTATCTCCGTTAAATATTATGTGCAACTTTAGAGTATTATATGTGAGATATAAAAATATTCCAAAGTTGCACATAACATTTAACGGAGGTAGTATATATTGGGATCTTTTACCAAAATGGCTAATTTGACAAAAGTATTTACCAAAACGGCTAATTATAAAATTTAATTCCCAAACTAGCTAAATTTATTGATTTGAAATGATATTATTTATTTTTTTATATTCCTTTGAACCCGTTCAGTTCACTTTATGTTTTTTTTTTGGTTTTATTTAAAAAGAATTTTTTTAAAAAAAATTTTGTTTATTTAAATTCTAATGCCATAGTTTAAAATATCCCATTAACTTGAACACAGAACAATAACAACCAACATAATATATATGCAACAATTCTCAATTTTTAAAAAAGTTACACAACATAAACAACCACTCAGAAAAATGATCAACTTCCAATAAAAAAAAAAAAAAAAAAACTATTTTTTTAAACACATAAAAATAGAAATATATGTAAGTTTGATTTATCATACACATTAAAAAAAAAATATTCCTACTAGCCGACATTAACAAAGAGTATACAATTAATAGACATGAAAAAGATGAACAATATCTTAAAATCTCTTATCGTTGTATAAATTTACGGTAGACTTGATAGAACAATACTACTTGAAATTCCAAATTTTTGTGATTGTATGATCAAGATGAAAAATTAGTTCTTTTAATTGTTTTTTTTTATCGAAATTAGGATCTACGAGTCTGCGATTGTTTACGTTTTTCGTAGTTTTGTATATTGCTTAAATTTCCAACTTAAAAAAATCTTTAACTAAATAAAAATAAAACAAAAAAAAGTGAACTAAACCGGATCAAAGGAAATAAGAAATAGATAAATTCCTTTCAAGTTAATAAATTAGCTAGTTTGGGAATTAAAATTTATAATTAGTCGTTTTGGTAAATAATTTTGTCAAATTAGCCGTTTTGGTAAAAGATCCTATATATTGAATGACGTTCATTTTAAAGTAACGGCGTCACGCGACACTCTTCAACGTATATGACACCATATCACTATACCACATCACTATTCAAAGTACATGGGATACATAAGTTTGCAACTTCACTTAACAAAATAAATAAATTATGGTTTGATCTAGACTCAAACCCGCAACCTCCAACAAATAACCTAACGGTTATACATTTACCATCTCAACAAACTTTTATTAGTGTTTTAAATTTCACATAGTTAACATTATATATTTCTTTCAAATTAGAGGTTATTTAATTTATTTATTCTTCACAAGATTAGAAAATAAATACATGAGGTAAATTAGGGCGTACCTCTTTATTCCAGATAACCACCTAAACCTCTCGCCAAACCACCTAAACCTCCCTCGAGAACTACCTCTACACAAATGAAACCGACCCTCCTCCCTTCCCAACCCCCGAATTCGACCCCCTGGGCGGTTTCGAGGGTGTGGGAGAATTCTAGCGAAGGGGGGGGGGGGAAGGGAGGAGAGTGGTTTAAGGGCTTGGGTAGGTCGACTGAAATTTGTTGGGGGTTGGTAGGGCCAGCCAACCATTTTCGGGGATTAGGAAGGTGGCTGGCCATTTTCCGGTTGGTTGTGGGTTGGCTCTCACGATTGAATCTTTTTTTTTTTTTTTTTTTTTACAAGAATAAAATTAGGCAATCATTTGCTGACATGTGACGTTTAAAAAACAAATAAATAAATAAATAAATAAATACCCTTCCATTTGGTAATCGGTTTTTTGGGCTATTGGAGGCAAACTCAGGGCACAGTTAGGATTTTCAAATAATAAACCTTAGTTGGAATTATTAGAAGTAAATCGGCAATTGTTGGGATTATTAAAGTGTATTTTTCCTTAATAATATTGTTAAACATCTAATAGTGTTCAATAAGCTAAAAGTTTATTGAAAACCTATTTACCAAACAAGGTCATAGTCCATTAGTCTACGTTAAATGCCCTTAATATACCCCTCACACTAAGTCAATAACATTGTATTTAATGATGGTCAAAATTAGTACTCGCTTATAACTATTTAAAAAAAGTCAAATTGGTCAATTATTTAAAAACAGAGAAGTAGTAAAAAAATGTCATAAGATTTTTAATTTAAATGAAAATTATGTCAGTTGTGATAAAATACCACCAGTCTTAGAATGAACTATTTGCAATGATGCAAATTATTAGATTACTGACTCAATGACTTATCCACCCTACTACAGTACTACCATATAGTTGGAACTATAAAGTAAAAGTTCCACGTGTACGTACTTAATAAATGTTAGGCATGAATTTCAGAATTTAAAAAGATAGTGTTCTGAAATTTGCTCACGTCGTGTGCCCTCGTGGTTTTTTTTAAAAAAAAAACAAAAGAAAAAGGGAAAAAGAAAAGTAAAAGATCATGAGGGCAAATTTAAGAATTTAAAAAGATAGTGTTCTGAAATTTGCTCACCTCGTGTGCCCTCGTGGTTTTTTTTTAAAAAAAAAAAACAAAAGAAAAAGGGAAAAAGAAAAGTAAAAGATCATGAGGGCACACGATGATAATTATTAAGCGGAGAGTGTATTCCACTAACCAAATTTGTTAACGGTAGGATAACGATAAAGTAACCGTTTAGAAACTAAGTGTATTTTGGGTTACAATATAAATTTCTTAAAAGGGGCACATCGTAGAAAACGAAAAGTTAGAGGCTTAAAATGTAGAAAAAATCAAAAATGAAAGGGGTAAAATAAATACTACTCTCTATATCTACTCCCTTTGTATTTTAGTAAGTGTTCCCAACTTCTAATTCTCTCTTAGGTAGAAAGTTTTAGAAAAGATAATACTCTCATAGTATTTTAACAAGTGCTCCATTAGCCTTTTCGCATTAATTACTTGACCAACTTACTTTTACTTATATATATGATTTATACATAAGAAAATAATATAGTATGATAGTTACGCATAATATGACACGTAGTAATTAATTAAGAAACTCTCCTAGTTTATTTAAACGTGAAGAGTTTGGCAATAACCAAGTAAAAGGAAAAAGCAACATCGACACAAGTAAATTTTATCTCTAGAGAGAGTGAGAGATGGCAGCAGTAGAAGCATATCCGATGAAAGGAGGAGATGGCACTTTCAGCTACATCAAGAACTCCAGCTTTCAGGTACACTACATATTTAATCATCGACTAGTTATATTTAATAACACTCTTTCAAATTAAACTCCCTCCGTTCCTTTTTGTTTGTCTTGTTTTGATTCTCTTTTACTATGGATTTATGTGTGAAATTATTTGTTTGAACATAATTAATTACCAACTAGCTTAGTTAAATCACCCTATCAAATTCCAATAGTTGGACTTTATTCTGATCTCCACAATTTACATAAGAAGAATTGTGAGTGGGATGGTTTAATTTAACGAGTTGCTAAATGTGCCGAAGGTTGCTTATCTTATAATCCATAATGAATTTATGATTATATATATTGATGTAAGAAATTGCATAATATTTGTAATATACTACCTCCACTGGGAAAATTCCACTTTCTCATGGGAATTTATTTCTCATTGTGGCATTTTCGTGAATAAATTAACAACTTTTTCATTATTGTGGGCTCCACGGTTGAATAAAGTTGAATAAAATTGTTGACTTATTTACGAAAATATGTGAGAATTTGTTTCTCACCATGAGAAACTGGGGCATCCTCCCCTCCGCTTCGCATTACTTGCAACAAAAGAATACTTTATATCTCATAAATAATACCCTTTGTTTCGAGTAATGCGAAGCGGAGGAGGTTGCATATCCATGTCTCTAGTGGTAACTAGATAAGTACTAATGATGAATTTCTTGAAACCAAAACAGAAATTAGCTTCAAGTGTAGTACAAGGGCTAATTTGCTCAGCAATCACTGAGAAATTTGATCCCATGAACATCTTCTTGACCATTACCGCCACAACACCATCAGCAACCCCGACGACGATCCGTTTAGCTGACCTTGGGTGCTCAGTAGGTCCAAATACGTTCACTGCAATGCAAAATGTGATAGACACAGTCACAACCAAAGCCAAATCCTTGTCTTGCCAAAACCCGCAATATCAAGTCTTCTTCAATGATCATGTAGGAAATGATTTCAACACCCTCTTTACCTCCATTCCCTCTGATCGTGCCTACTTCTCAGCTGGTGTGCCCGGTTCCTTCTATGGCCGTCTCTTCCCTGACTCATCGCTCCATTTCATCCACTCGTCGTATTCTCTACAATGGTTGTCTAAGGAGCCTAAGGAGTTGCTTAACAAGGAATCTGAGGCGTGGAATGGTGGGAGGATCCATTACACTGGTGCTCCGCGAGGTGTTGTGGATGCTTATGCTAGGCAGTTTTCTGAAGACATGGGGTTGTTCTTGGGTGAAAGAGCGAAAGAGCTCGTTGTTGGTGGGATGATGGTGCTCATCATGCCTTGTATTCCAGATGAAAGTGTGGCTCATTCTCAGGTTCCTACTGGGATCATGTTCGACCTTTTGGGTGCTTCCCTGGTGGATATGGCTCAAGCTGTAAGTGCCTTTCGTTCTTTTTGTTTTAATGAATCAACTAGGTAATGCCAGAGCAATGCTTGATTCAATTGATTAAATTGTTTGATGGCTAATAAGACCTCGGCATAACTTATTTGCTTTCAGGTGAAATGGAATATTACAATGTATTGTTGACTACATTTTGCTTCTAATTTACATTCAAAAATAGAAGGGGAATTTTCATGTTTCTCATGATCAGAAACGAAATTTGTTTCTCATAGGGGTATTTTCGTGAATAAATCAACAACTTTTTCATTATTGTGGGTTCCACGGTTGAACAAAATTGTTGGTTTATTTAGAAAAATGCCATGTGAGAAACATTTGTTTCTCACCATGAGAAACTGGGGCATCCTCAAGTAGAAGTTTCCAATGTGTTTGTGATAATACTAACAAAACTAGTTCAAGGTTTTTCTAAGTAAACTTGTCTTTTTTTTTGTTCTCTTAACTGATGATTTTAGGGAGTCATAAGCCAAGAGCGAGTAGACTCCTTCAACTTGCCAATCTACAGCGTTTCACCAATGGAGATGGAATCCTTAGTAAAGAAGAACGGGCGATTTAGCATTGAGAAAATGGAGTTAACTGATCCAACTTCGGGAAGAAAGAATAATGAGGGTGGTTCTAAGACTTCGGGCGATGGCAACGCAATAGCGAATCACCTGAGAGCTGGAATGGAAGGAATTTTGTCCAAACATTTTGGTGTTGAGAAAATGGATGAACTGTTTAAAAGGTTCTCTAAGAAGACCATTGAGTTTTCTGATAAGTTCAAGTCAAGCCTTAAGCAAGGAACTCAGTTGTTCATCGTCCTTGTCAAAAAGAATTAAGCTCCTTTTATAATCATTTCCTTCTATTGTTTTTCATAAATTGCAGTTTAATTTTTTTTTTTGGGCCACAAATTTCAAGAATTTAGAAGTCTGTCTCTTACTTGTTATAATGTTCCATATTATTGGGCCGAAATACCGAAAAAGATAGGAATTGATTAAGCTAGTTGTGGTAATTGTCTTCAATAAGTCTATTGTGCACCCTGGTCCACCTAGGATAGCTGGACCCAGGCGATTGTTCAGATTTTATTACCAAATGTTCAAAAGTATGGACGTGGTGCAGTGTTCGGATTTTTTTTTACAAAATGTTCAAAATTTGCAATTGTTCAGATTTATTTACGAAATGTTTAAAAGTATAGGCATACATTGAGATTGTTCAGATATTTTTACTAAATGTTCAAAATTTGCGAGGTTCAGATTTTTTTACTTAATGTTCAAATTTTGCAATTGTCCAGATTTTTTTTTACTAAATGTTCAAAAGTGTAGGCGTGGTCATTGTGATTGTTCAAATATTTTTACTTATTGTTCAAATTTACGATGTTCGGAATTTTTTACTAAATGTTCAAAATTTGCAATTGTACAGATCTTTTTACAGAATGTTCAAAAGTATATGTGTGGTACATTACGATTGTTCAGATATTTTCACTAAATGTTCAAAAATTTTGATGTTTAGATTTTTTTTTTTAATTTTAAAAAAATATTCAAAATTTACAATTGTTCAGATTTTGTTTACTAAATGTTCAAAAGTATCAGGTAATCGATCATAATATAACAGATACGAATTGATCGATCGAATTAATTTCAACAAATTCAATTGATATTAGAACAATCATTTCATCTATAATTTCATCTCAAAATCAAAAAAATACGTACAACTTAATGAGAACAGTAAAAACAATCAATTAATACGAATTGTAATCAATCAAATTAGCTTTCACAAATCCAATTGATATTAAAACAATTATTTCATCCACAAGTTCACCTCAAAATCAAAAAATAAATTAACATTGATCACAATGAGTTCATAATAAAAAAACCTAGATTGATATATTTGAAAATTTAAAATTGTTCCATCACGTTAAATGTAGAAATTTAATGGAAAAAAAAAAACAAAAAAACAAAGAACAGAGGAGAGAGAAAATAAGAATTTGAAAAAAAAAAAAAAGAATGAAGTAATTCAATAAAGAAATAAAAAGATATTAGATTAAAAAAAGAGAGAGAGAGTGAGTTTCTGTAAAAAAAAAAGGAAACAAAATTTTGTAAAGATGGTGGGAAGAAGAAGAGAATGAAGTTTGTTTCATTTATACAAGGTTGTATTTTAATAGGGGTCTAGCTATTTTAGATGGAGTAGGGTCTATATAAAAATTTGTATAATTGTCTTAGTGTTTAAACATTTTTATTTTGGGCCCTTTGGGCTTTGTTCATCTTCATGAAAGTCCATATGTTGAATGATTTTGGAAAGAAAAAAGACAAACAAACAAACAAATAAAGGTTTTGCTTTACCAAAAATCCAAAATTAAGGAATGACTTGTACTAAATTTAATCTTGTTTAAAAACAAATTAATTTCATATAATGCACATTTTTGTTTTCTTTTTTCAAATGAGATTTATTAAATTTTTATTATATCATCTTTTTTCTTATAATTTTTACTTATTGATAAATGTAAATATTGGTTGTTAAAATTACTTGTTGACAAATAACAACCATGGAAATAAAAACATTACAAATCAAAGAATAATGCTATACCTTCCATTTGCCAATCATCGTGTTTCACTGATGAGGATGGTTTTGATCTCCTAAAAGGCCAAATTAAAACCAACACCAAAGCCCTATACAGTAAATTACTAAATTATAGTTGGGTCCTCCAATTTCAATTCTACACTAGTCTTTTTACAAGGTGTGCCAAAATTAGTATTTGATACGTCAAAATCAATCTCCCTATTTGATGGTATAACTTCCATCTATGTTATTATTAAAACTCATGGGGACAACAAGCTAACGACATGTGTCACTCATATGCCACATATGCACTATATGTCATCCAATAGACCAATATGTCATCCCTCTTCTTTCATCATATTGAATTGTATTATTGTTTAGTCTCTTTAACAAAACTAGTTCAAGATTTTTCTAAGTAAACTGGTTTTTTTTGTCTTTCTTTTTCTTCCCTAATGATTTTAGGGAGTCATAAACCAAGAGCAAGTAGTTCAACTTGCCAATCTACAACGTTTCACCAATGGAGATGGAATCCTTAGTAAAGAAGAACGGGCGATTTAGCATTGAAAAAATGGAGTTAACTGATCCAACTTCAGGAAGAAAGAATAATGAGGGTGGTTCTAAGACTTCGGGTGATGGCAACGCAATAGCGAATCACTTGAGAGCTGGAATGGAAGGAATTTTGTCTAAACATTTTGGCGTTGAGAAAATGGATGAACTGTTTGAAAGGTTCTCTAAGAAAACCGTTGAGTTTTCTGATAAGTTCAAGTCAAGCCTTAAGCAAGGAACTCATTTGTTCATTGTCCTTGTCAAAAATAATTAAGCTCCTTTTATAATCATTTCCTTCCATTGTTTTTTCAGAATTTGTAGGCCTTGTTTGGCAATTGGCTGCTGGCTATTGGTTGTCGACTGGTTTGATTGGCTGGTTTGATCGGCTATTTGTATTGACTTTTTTGTTGGCTGTTTGTCGTTTTATTAGTCTAAAAACATGTTTGGTAAAATTGGTTGTTGGATGTTATTAGTAACATAGGTAGCCAAAAGCTACTCCAATTAGCTTTTTCATTTTGACTTAAAAGCCAGCTTTTTAACTGATTGAAAAAATCATTAATCAAACACAAATTTTAGATGTTTGACCCAATGAAAAAACCAAAAGACAAAAACCAATCAGAAACCCAATGAAAAGCCATTTATCAAATAGACCCGTAGTTTAAATATTTTTTTATTTTGAGCCACAAATCCACTAACAACATTTTAAAATCACACTTTCAAGATTATAAAATTAACTGTGGGCCATAGCACATGTTTTTCACCTTAGGAATCCATTGAAAATAAGATAGGAAGTTACACTTCCTAGTTCCTATAGATGTTCAACATGATTAACCAATTAGTATTAGGTATTACTGGAGACCTGGAGTACCATTTGTTTATGGTATTCCAACATATTAAGTGAAATAACATATCTATAAAATAAAAGAGTATAAAAATTGTGAGAGTATATAAATGAATATAAACCTAAAATAATGAAAATTTCAATTTCATTTTTCTCTCTACTTTCTCGCTCCTTACTTTTCTCTCTCTAATTTCCCATCTTCTGTAAACAAAAATATCATATATAAAAATGTTGGACCACAAAATCATGCCATCTTAAGATCGAAACCACAACCCTAATAATTATAAATTAGAATGTTATACATACTAACAAGATATAATATAGTTATGCTAATTTTATCTAACTGTTTTACAATGGAATCAAATTTGCCTAACACCTGTTTCATGATGAATAACAGTCTGATAAAGTCCCACAGCTAACTTGAACAGCATAAGAACAGGTATGAAGTAAAAGAACACAATAATGAATAACAACATACCACAGAAGGGGGATCAATGACACCTACACATTTTCCATCCTTAATTAATTAACTCCAGGTGAAGTATCAGAATCCCTGCAAACACTAGTGCATGTGAAATACTGAAAAATACCAAAATATCTGAATACTTTCACTTCGAAAAATACCAATCAAGTGTTGTCCTCCTTCGCATTCACATCTATCATACTTGGTCAAAGAACACCACAGTCAAAATTAGGCGTGATTACTGAAACCAGAGTACCAATTTCAATTCAATGGTTGATTAAGTTGCAGCTCAAAGAATAGAATCATTCTACCAAATGTAAAGACATAAGTCTGGATTAAATATAATTAAAATTGGCTAATTTAATATATATCATCCAAAATAATTAAATTTAATTAATACTCCTCCGTCCCAATTTACTCACAATGGTTTGACTTTTTGCACAATTCACATATCTCCCTTTGATTATGTTTTTTAACTATTATATGAAAGTTAATGTATTATGTAAGATGTTGTTGGATCTATTTTAATATATAGTTTTTTAATATAAACTTTTTATAACTTATATAAATATATAATAAAAGTTATCAATGGTCAAACATGAGCTTAAAATGTTGCAAATAAATTGGGACAGAGAGAGTAGTCAAATAAGCCTAAGTCAATATTTTGACTTTTGACCTATATCAAATCTGATGTGGAACTTATATAAATTTTTCATGTCTACACCATTATTACTAGTAAGTGTGTGCGACGATAATCCACTTGACTTTATATTTTTTTGAAATTTTCAGTCAAATAATGAAAATTTTACATTATAATTGCTAGATATATTCCATCCCTTTTATGTGTATATACAAACCTTTGACGAGGAAAAATTGAAGAGGCGGGTGAAAGATGAGAATTAAGGAAAATTAACAGCAATACATTACATACATTATTTGAGGAATATTGCAATTTTTGTGAGCAAACAATTAAAGACAGCCTAGTGATATACTATATTTTATGTTCTCATTGCTTAGAAAGACCATCACCAATTGAACTAAGCTAGCTTACGAATAATGACTTGTGCACCACGTAAAGGTTGAAGGGTCATCATAAAATAAGGCATATGATTATAAGAAGGTGAAAGCTCGAAGGAAAAGCGTTGAAGCAACATAGACAAAGCCATCTTAGCTTCAAGCATGGATAGGTTTTGCCCAATGCAAACCCTTGGGCCCCACCCGAAAGGGAAATATGGAGCCGGATCTTTATCGGATGCCTTTGAAACCCCCTCGGAGAATCTACTAGGGTTGAACTCAAGTACGTCTTTTCCCCACACTTGTTCATCTCGATGAAGGCATGGTGTTGGGATGAAAACATGGGCACCACCAGGGAGTTGTTTATCTCCCAATTTTGCCCCTTTCTGACCCGTGGTTCGGATTATGCTCGATGGCGGATATAGCCTTAATGTTTCTTGCAAAACCATGGTTACCTACATACAACACACAACAATTACAATTTTACAAACTATCAAGGTCATCACCAGCCTATTTGTACAAAATACAAAAAAACAATTATTGGGCCTAAAATAATTATGGACATTTTGTGAAAAACTACCATATAAAACACTTTTTTTTTTTGCGAGAAACTACCTAATAAAAAAATGTTGTAACAAAGTACCTTATAATATAGCAAATGTCTACCATTAGTTGGAAAGTCACCGTTGACTTTCATTTTTCGGCGTTAACCACATCACGTGATTTTGATTCACCCTTCCCCTCCTTTTTTTCTTAATTGGCACGTGACATGATCAACCCCGAAAAATAAAAGTCAACAATGACTATTCGACCCAAGGTAGTCTCTTACAACATTTATCCTTTTATTAAGTAATTTCTGACAATATTTTTTTTATTAAGTAATTTCTCGCAAAAAAGTGCTTTATAAGGTAGTTTTTCACAAAATGTCCAATAATTATTGAGTTTCTATCTTTATAAACAGATCATTTACAAGTTTAATTGTTTCTTACATGCATGTACCTTTCATTATTTAGCTTATTCATACCATCATTTTAATTTTGATTTGTGTATCAGAGTATGTATACATTTAAAAAATTAGAAGCAATAATATTAATTATAACAATAATACTTGTAAAAAAGAAAATTAATAATAATAACTTACCGTTTTGAGACGACTTAAGTCATCAAAGGAAGGTGCTTGTTCACGGCCAAGAAGTTTAAGTACTTCTTCTCTTGTCTTTTCTTGCCAATCTTGATGCATGCTTAAAGCTACAATAGCCCAAGTGAGCGAATTCGCAGTCGTCTCGTGCCCAGCAAAGTAGAATAGCTTACATTCTTCGATAAGCTCTTGTAATGTCAATCCTTTACCCTCTAGCTGGCTGTTAAGATTTGATTGTAGCATCAATCCTAACAAATCATCCTTCACAATTCCATCCTTTTCCATGACTCTCGTGCGCTTTTGAATGATTCCTTTCAATGCAATTGTCACTTCTTTTTGGATTTGTTTCATCCTTGCATTTGTTTTCGTAGGCAAATGCCTACATTGAGGTTCATTTGTACGTTAGTAAAATAATATTGCTCGACTCCACGTAACAAAGAATACATCTATTATAATAAGTGGGTTCAATTGACCTATTGACTTTCCCTCTAAATTAAAGGTAATTAAAAGTGGTTACCTTAAGAATGGAAATGTCGCCATATAGTACATTTTTGCAAGTAACTTTGATTGCTCATTCATGAGTTGAAATACACTACTTCCTTCTTCATAATTGCTGCCAAATGCCACATTTGATATGACATCTGCTGTTAATTTTTTAAATTCTGAGAAAACATTAATTTCACATGAATTATTTGCTCCTAGAACTCCCTCCCATATCGAAATCATTCCTAGTGTGCATTTTTGTATCGATGGCACCATTCCCTGGCAGAAAATTGCGAGACAAGTTATTACATACATGAAAATGTACATATATAATTCATACCGTATAGCTAGAGTAATATAAAATTTAGTTGCAAATAAACACCCCTAAATCAATAGTGTGCAGTGGGACAAATAATCACGATAATTATTTTATAATTTTACACAAGTGGTAATTTTATAATAATCACGTTCAAATAGAGTAAAGTCCGCCTTAATCAAGAATTTATATTGTCTCTATAATTGACAATTTGTATAACTATTGTTATTCAAATTTCCTACTCTACAGTAAATCACAAAGACAAAACGAAAGAGCATAGCGTAAAAACCTGTAACTTTGTCATATGGAAGGCTGGACTGAGCAACTTTCTATGCATGACCCATTTATCTCCATTCAAAGATGATACACCAGCAACAAAGAGTCTGGTGAAGCCATTGATTTCTGGTTTACGAAATTCTCCGGACTTATTCGTTAACATTTCTCTGATCAATTTTGGTTCCATCAGCACTATTCTTGGCACTGTCCCCGTCCAATAAAAGAACATTTTACCTATTTCACGTACATATATTAAAACAATAATAACAAGATCCCACACTAGGGGTGGCAATTCGGGTCAGCAGGTCGGGTTCGGGTCAGATGTCGGGTCGATTTCGGGTTATGCTTAGAAACTATTAAAAATAGTGTAAAACTTAATATTATTACGAAATATGAAATTTGGGTCAAATCGGGTTGAATTCGGGTTGTTCGGGTTCGGTTCAGGTCGGGTTCAAGTCTCTCTCAGTAACTTCGGGTCGGGTTCGGGTCGGGTTTTCGTGTCGGGTCAGGGTTTGCCAGCCCTATCCCACACGACTACTATACCTTTTTCACAAAACATAGTGGTTCTAAAACGCCACATTTAATTACTTCATGTCTTAATGCCTAAATTCAGGTGGCCTTAGTTTCTTGCCTTCTTGCCTGCTTCCTCTCTCTCTCCTTTCCTCTAACAAAGCTTGTGACATAATTAAGAACTTCAGGTGATGCCCGAGTCACTGTATTATTTTCATGATAAAAAATCCTTATTAATATTTAATTTTGATGAAATGGGAAGTAATATGGTAATAGCTTAGTGGTAACATAATAGAATTTAAGCAAAGACTTTGTGTTCAAATCTTGTAAGATCCATATTTTTAACATATGGAATGAAAAACTCGATTAAATGAGGAGAGTGTCACGTGTCACCTAAACTTATTTAGTAACGCTTTTTAATATATAGTATTGATAACAACGAGTGATAAATTATTGTATTAATGCATTATATGCATAGTTCCACGAGTTTAATCAAATGCACAATAAGATTGTTATATATGAAAACTATTTATATGATTATTATAATAAAGCACTTCTTAAGCTTAGCTTTAATCAAATGCACAATAAGATTGTTATATATGAAAACTATTTATATGATTATTATAATAAAGCACTTCTTAAGCTTAGCTTTAATCAAATGCACAATAAGATTGTTATATATGAAAACTATTTATATGATTATTATAATAAAGCACTTCTTAAGCTTAGCTTCGAGGGTTAATAATTTTTTAAGCGAAGTTGCCACAATGACACAATGATGCGGGAATTTGGCTAATAGTGGTTAATTAATTATGAGACAATGCCAAGGAAATATGCAACATTTGTTTAATACAATAAAACTTACCATAAATCTTCATTAAATGGGACTCAATAGGATTGGAACATGATATAATATCATGAGTTGGAGTTTTAGGCATGGAAGTAATGCCTTTAATCTTCAATTGCTTTAGCTTATCTTGTTCACCACCCCATAATTGGTAAGTAGTTCCATCAATTCCTTGCTTCCTTAACCATTTTTCTTGCCATTTTGGCTTCAATACTAAAGCATTTACCATTTGCACTATAAAAGCTACTACAAACAATCCTAAAATTACTCCCATGCCCATTACAACAACCATTATTGTACAATTGTTGTTAGTGTTCCCTTCTATTTTCTCGATTACTATTTTTGTGTTTAAAGCCACAGTAGTAGGTTGTCTATTTATATATGCAAGTTTTTGTCCAACTCTACTTAGGGCCTGCTTTCTTAAGCTTATTTTAAGTTCAGTTCGGCTCCAATCAGTTCAAATCTGTTCAGTTTCTAATTTCCTTCTCTCATAAAATATTCATCAGTTTAGTTCAGTAAATCAGTTGATGCCCTTAATTACTCTTGTAGCCCCATAATATATGTAGTTCCCAACAAGTTTAACATCAACACGGTTTAGGTTTGGGTCAAGTCTTTTAACTCGTTTAACATCAACACGAACACGAACCCGATATGACACGACCAGTTCGACAACCCTAGCTTGATCACCTCGTGTACCGCATGCACCATGCATGGTTCTTCCGATCCCTGAGCTTACCATTAGTAGTGCAAACAGCAAAGTTATGTCAATGTCCCCCTGGCAATGGACGATTCCACGGAGGAAGTAAATATGCTACAATATATATATTGTATATTCCACAAACAAACAATAAGTTGAATCTTACCATGCATATTATTTCTTCATTAAACGGCCTCAACAAGAGGGTATACCAATAATTTCAACCATTGTAAAATTGTTGTTAGTGTTCGATCTCTCTTTTATTTTCTCCATTACTCACTATTTTAGTGTTATTAAACCTGATTGATGTCTATTTATGTGCTTGTCCAACTCTAATTACTTATTAATTAATAGGAAAATTTGTGAGGAAGGTCCTTTTAAGTAGACCTTTTTGTGATAAGGGTCCTTTTATAAAAAAAAGTGGCACAAAATTAAGGTCTTTATATCATATTTAGGTTGTGAGAAGGGTCCTATGACCATTTTCCGGCGTTGACTTTTTTTATTTCCTGACAAAAAAAAGTCACCTCTAAGTTCCCTTTTTTCTCCATCCGATCCTCTTTTACCTCGTTTTCCCCCTTTTTTTCCCTATCAAACCCTAATTTCTTAAAGCAATTAACACCAAATTAAAACTTCAATTGTAATCCCATAAATTAAAATTGAAGGATATTCAAAGTAATTCAAGGCTAATCCTCCCCACAATGAGAGAAAACAGAGAAAAAAAAAGGGAACTTAATAAGTCACGTGCTTTACACGTAGCTTTTTTTTACCGGAAAATTGTCAAAGGACCTTCCTCACAACTCAAACATGATATAAGGACCTTTTGTGCCACCTTTCCTTTTTTTATAAAAGGGCCTTTGTTACAAAAAGGTTTACTTAAAAGAACCTTCCTCGAAAATTTTCCTAATTAATACAAAGTATTTTTTTTTTTAATCACGAAGTACCATTTTTTTTTAATATGTATGCTTTTTTTAAGTGTTAACTTTGTGATTATTATTTAATTATTTTTTAGGTTGAGATTTGGTATCACAGTTCAACCTCACCAAAGCCACTATTACAAAAAATACATAATAATAAATGATAAGATATATAAATCGATGAGGATCCGGGTTCAAATCTAATCCCTTCTTTTAAGTGAACTCATATTGCATCTACATTTAATCTATCAGCTTATTTAACAGTAAAATTCTATTACTAAACAAGTTTTGTTAGCTAATTGAATAATTAAAAACATTTTTCCCGTGCATTATTGATAAGTTTTTATACTTTCCCGATTATAAGCTTGAAATTTATATACGTTCTTTATTTTTCAATTGATGAATCCGTAATCAACGTTGGCACACAAATTAATAAAAGGGAAAGGGGTGAAGAAATTAACATAACTATTGTGCTACACTGCTACAACTGACTATATTGTTTATCAATAAAAATATACATGTAAAAAATTTTAAATATTAACAAACTATCTATCTTTTATAAATTTTTTAATAGTAACTCCGTTACAGGTTATATGTGCAACGATTTGACATAAAACAAAGAGGGAAAATGTATAATCGTTGCACATAACCTGTAACGGAGGTAGTATTAGCTCTTATCTTAATTAGTTAAGACCTGTTTACTTCAGCTTAATTTCAATTCAGCTCTTATCTTAATTAGTTAAGACCTGTTTACTTCAGCTTAATTTCAATTCAGTTCAATTCAGCTCAGTTCAGTTCAGCTCATTCAGCTCATAATTTCCTTTTCTAATAAAATATTCATTTAAGCTCCAATTAGTTCAATTCAGTTCAATAAACGTAAATATACCCTTAATTTATCTAAAATTATGCATCAAATATACACTGCAAGACTTTGGAAAACACTAAGGGGGTTGGAAAAATATGTCACTTATGAATTGTGATCAAAATGCCACTCACCGTCATGAACTCATGCAGACTGCAAATGATTATGAATTGTGATCAAAATGTCTAAAAATGAACAATTTGCAGTCATGCACTCATGCAGACTGCATAGGATTAAATCACTGACTCACCGTCACCGACTCTACCATGAATTTAATACGGTAGTAAGCCATCCTCGTGTATACTGTATAGGCGTATAGCGTGTACATTGAAAATTAATTTGCAAAGATATTTTATGATACTTGTAAAAGAAAATATATATGGACTACTCGTATATTTTATTGTAATAATTTTTAATATACGCTAGGGTTTCGAGGGTGGTGGGAGGTCAGGCGGCGGTTTTTGGGGGAGAGGGGGATCGTTTTCTAGGGTTTGCGGAACTAGGGGTGGTTTTTTCGGGGGAGGGGAGATCGGGGCAAGCGCAAGGAGCGGCGGCGAGGGCCGGAGGAGGTGCGGCGAAGGGCGGGGGACGAGCGACGGTGCGGTAGCTAGGTTTTGCGGTGGTTTGTGTGGGTAGTAGGATGGTGGTATGGTGGTGTTGGGGTGGATAGGGAATGAAAATGAAAATACCTAGGGGGTGGGGAATGAACTTAGAAGGATTTGGGGGAATGGAGGGGGTAAAGGGAATAGGAAAAAACGATTAACAAACAGCAACAGAGGGAATCAGGGTGGTTGATTCCCTTTTCCTTTTATAAATACCCCAACCAAACGGCCCCTAAGAAGAATAAGAAGGAATTAGGGAAAAGTAAACCCCCCAACGTTTGCTTTTACTTTGGAAAAGAAATAGAAAATTGTACAAAGACGTTTGCTTTTACTTTGGAGTATTATTTATACTATACATTAAAAGACGTTTTAAGTCAAGTCAATATTTTACGTGGATTTTTTCCGATCATCTTTATTAGTTATTACTCAATATCATTATACATTTCAAAAAATAGATATGGTGTATATGATTTATACAAAGTACACAATACAAACTCTTAATCTCAAGGTTAAATAGTACGGTGTAGAAAGCTAACAACTGTAGGATTATATCATAATATGTGGCTTTAATAACAAACAATTGTATTATTCAATATATTTACCTTTCTCAGATAAACCACCCAACATATCCCCCAATTTTTTGTTTCTATCCAATTTTCTTGTATCTACCCCTATCCTACGTAAATTACTATGTAAAGTTTTAATAAATATCATTATTTACTTTTAAAACATTTTTCATATAAAGGTCTTTTAAAAACATTATACACTACCTCCATTACTCTTAGGGCTTGTTCTCTTACATTGAAATTCAGTTCAGTTCAGTTCGGTTTCAAATTTCCTTCTCTTATAAAATATTCAGTTCATTTCAGTTCAGTTCAGTTCAGCTCAGTTCAGTTCAGTTCAGCTCAATTCATTTCAGTTCAGTTCAGCTCAATTCAGTTCAGTCAATGAGAACAGACCCTTAGTTGGTTGTTATTATATATATAATCATGTTCAACATAGGATTATCATGTTCCGCTAGTTAATTAAGTCAAACTATCAAGGCTAATATGCTTAATGACTATCATGTTCATTATAGAAAAGTAGTCTTTATTAAGGGTCTGTTCTCATACGTTAAAACTCAGTTCAGTTCAGTTCAGCTCAGTTTAATTCAGTTCAGTTCAGTTCAGCTTCTAATTTCCTTCTCTTATAAAAAAATTCATTTCAACTCAGCTCAGTTCAGTTCAGCTGAGTTCAGTCAATGAGAGAACATGCCCTAAGTCAATTAATTAAGTCAAATTAATTAAAAAAAACATATTTGGATCCACCAATATCTATTTTTGGTTGGTAAGGAGAAAAGTCCTACTAAGTCTGAACTTCTCACAAATCCTTACGGCATAGATAAACGGCGTAGGCACTTTAAAATGTATGTGTAGGGGGGAGGGGGTAAGAAAATCCCCACCTCAAAGTGTCACTAGTAGATTTTTATCCTACTACTAAAGATTGTGAGATATAAACTTTGTCACTAGACCAAGTTTGGTTGCATCTACCTCCATGTACATGTACATATAAGGTTTTGTTAAAAAAAAGGAAAATTTAACAACAACAAACCAACCTTTGTCTCATTCTCCCAAAATGGACCAACCTTTAAATCTTCCCAAAATAGACAGAAGTTTGCATTTTTCTCCCAAAATGGACCAAGCAGGCCAGGTCACCCTACCTGTTAAGTAGGTAAAAAACCACTTGTCATTAAATCATTGGTCAAAGGTTTTTTTAATTTTTAATATTTTATTTTGATAATTTTTTTAAAAAAAAATGGAAAAAAAAAAAAAAAAACCTTTCCCACCATTTCCAGCCACCCTCTCAACCTTCACCACCATCACTTCCACCCACTACACCACTACCTATGTACACTACCAGCAACAACCACCATAGAAACCAACATACCAACCACCAAACTACCGAAATCACCATACCAACCAACGAAATTACCATACCAACCCATCCGAAAACACCGAAATCACCTACCAACCCATCAAAAATACCAAAACCACCATACCAACCCACCAAAACACTGAAACCACCATACCAACCACCATACCAACCCACCCCACTAATACCAAGATCCGAAAACCCACTACCCAAAACCTTCCATAACCATCCTATCACCACCACCAAGATCCGAAACCCACCTACCGTAACCCTTAATTTTTCAATCTTTCGATTCTTCTTTCTTTTTACATTACACTACGTGAAAAAACGCATTTGGCACCGGTTCAAACCCGGCCTAAGGCACCAGTTTGAACCCGTGCCTATGTGGGGGGTGCCAAATACCCCCCTTTTTGGCACCGGTTCAAAACCGGTGCCATAAACCGGTTTTGGCACCGGTTAACCGGTGCCTTAAATAGTTCCGCGAAATATATTTTTTTTTCTTTTTTTTTTTTTTACTTTTTTCTTGCAATAATAATAAAAATAATATACAAAAAAGTTAACAAACATCAGAAATACGAACCAAACAAAATGGTAAAATACGGAGTCTTTGATCGAAATTGTTATATTCAACATCAAAACAATTGTAAATCACATTATATTCAAGTAAATTGTTATTGTACAATACAAAAAAAAATTAAAAAGTTACAATGAATTATAATGAAATTCAACTCAGAAATTGAAATTGTAAAACAATAAAAAAAAAAAAAAATTACAACATCAAAACAATATTCCAAAAAAAAAAGTCTTGAATCCTTGAATTGTTGCATGAATTAACACCTGCATCAATAATAACCCAGAAATTATTAAAACTCAAAAAAAAAAACGAGAAACAATAACCCAGAAAACTCATGCATGCAAGAGAAAGAGAAAATCAATATAGAAAACCCAGAAAACCGCACAAATATTGAATTAATAATTTCGAAAATCTGGGTTTTCGAAAATCAATTAACCCCAAAACTTTCGAAAATCAATTAACCCAGATTTTCAATGTTCAGGCCAAAACTTTCGAACATCAATTAACCCCAAAACTTTCGAAAATCAATTAATCCAGAAACTTTCGAAAATCAATTAACCAAGAAAAACAATTAACCCCAAAACTTTCGAAAATCAATTAATCCCAGAAATTTCAAAAAATCAATTAAGTGCAAATTTACAACAATCAAACCCAAAAAAATTAAGGCAATGAATTATAATTACACCAATCAATTTTGAACAATATTACAACAATCAAACCCAAAAATTTAAGGCATATAACATAAATAATTAAACCCAGAAACCCTTACCAATTAAACCCAGAAACATGCACTAACCTCAAATTTGACCAGAAAATAAGTGGACTTGGTGGCGGCGGTGGTTAGTGGCGTCGGTGGTGGTGGGCAGAAGACAGAAGAGAGGTCGGAGATCGAGACATAAGAGGACAGAGAGGACAGAGAAGGGAGAGAGGACAAAGAAGAGAGGTCGGAGAGAGAAGGAGGGGAGGAGAGGAACGTCGGCGCTGCGCGATCTAGATCAGAGGAGAAAGAAGGTGAAGCGGATCGAGATTAGAGGAGAGAGAAGGAGAAGCGCCGAGGATAGAGAATGAGGAGAGAGAAGGAGGTAGGTTAGGTTATATTAGGGTATATATATATAAAGGAAAGGCCGGTTTTTTTTTTGGAGCAACGGTTCAGTGGCACCGGTTCAAACCGGTGGCCTTTTTATTTTTGGTACCGGTTTGAGCTGAACCGGTGCCATTGTTCTTGGTCTAAATCCCCGCCCAACTGTAGGCTGGTTTTTGGCACCGGTTTGGCCTGAACCGGTGCCAATTGGGGGTTGCCTTTTTGTATTTTTCTACTAGTGTTAATTTCTCACTGTTTTTCGATTTAAGGATTGTCGGTTTGGGGGTTTAATGGGGAGCAAGGTATGGTCGGAAAATGCAGTGGAAAGGGGAGGGGGAGTGGTGGTTGGAAAGGGGATGGTCGAAAATGGGAGGTGAAGCCGTGAAGGGGGAGGGGATGTGGTGGCCAGAAAGGTGGAGGATGGGGTGGTTGGTCGTCTTAGCACTGGGGTAAGGGAAGAGATGTCTGATATTTTTATTATATATATATAATTATTTTGTTGAATTTAAAAAATAATTAAAGGTTTTTAATTAAAAAAAAATGACCGGTTGTACAGGTTGTTAGTTATTGGGTTCATTTTGGAAGAAAAAATGCAAACTTTTGTCTATTTTGGGAAAATTTAAAGGTTAGTCCATTTTGGGAGAATGAGGCAAAGATTTATTTATTGTTGTTAAATTTTTCTTAAAAAAAAGACTGTATTAGTCGTGCATAACATGACAAGGAGTATTGCATTAATTGAGAATGGAGATATAATTTACTTTTTATAGAAGTAGTTTTATTATTAAAATTGAAGAGCTTGGCAACTCAAGTAAAAGGGAAAAAAACATCAACACTAATTTAATCTTCTAGATAGAGAAATACCTTCACTAAAAGTAGAGATGGCAGCAGTAGAATCATATCCGATGAAGGGAGGAGATGGCACCTTCAGCTACGTCAAGAACTCCAGCTTTCAGGTACAATACATATTTAATCATCAACTAGTTATATCACATTATCACTCTTTTAAATTAAAGTCCCTTCATTCCTTTTTGTTTTGATTCCTTTTTACTGTAATTATTTATCGATTTTTATGAGAAAATACATACGAGAACTTGTTTATTGGTTTCGAGAGAAAGAAAAAAAAAAACTTGATAATTTGTTTGAACATTATAACTAAATAGCCAAGTTAACTCAGCTCGTACCTTTTTTTTCGGGGTTATAGTATAGTAAGGGCATGTTCTCATACGATTATTTTCAGTTCAGTTCAGCTCTAAGTTCAGTTCTGTTCAGCTCTAATAAGTTAAATTCAGTTCATTTCATCTCTTAATTTCCTTCTCTTATAAATATTCAATTCAGTTCTAATAAGTTCAGTTCAGCTCTGCTCATTTTAGTTAATGAGAACAGACCTTAAGTAACATAAGTCTTCTATACTTTGTGTATTGAGATTCAATATATTTCTAGTCTTGTTATATATGGAGTATATTGGCAAGTCGGATTAGGATTGGTGCATGTTAGTAAGAAACTAAGAATTGTGTCAAAAAAGTGATCCTTTTTTGAATGGTAGGTCGTTGGAAAATTTAGTCTAATGGTCTCATATACTAACCTGCTAATACCATTAGAGATTTTAAATAATGAGCCACTAATATTATTAGCGTTTCATTATTTAAATCTCCTGTAAGAAATAAGTTTTGATTCTAGCATTATCTACGACAACCACTCTATCTCTAGGTACAGATTAGTTTGTTTGACTAACATATTATGCACAATTGCACATGCTAAGTCACGGTGACGTTAATGTTAATAATTAATCTCTCTGTCCCTTCAAGACCTCTTTTGGTTTTTGTGCGGAAATTAAAAAAGTTGTAAATTCTTTAAAACTAATGATTAAAAGTATAAATGTGCATGTGGGGTTAGAGAGAGATAGAGAGAAAGAAAAAGTAGTTAAGAATAATTAAAAAGATAGAAAGAGAAAGTGTTGGGAAATAATATTAAAAATAAAAAAAAGTAAAGGAATAAATTCATAAGAAGAGGTTAATAGTGTCAAAAAATACAACATTTAAATAGAAAGAGACATTGTAATTTGATTTACCCAAATAAGAAATGAGTCTTTATATTTAGGGACGGAGGGAGTATCTTGAATTTAAATGAATTTTACTACTCCTCCTGTCCCTCTTTTGCCCCATGGAAAATGAATGGGTCAATCTTCAAGAAATATGATCATAAATTATCAATAAGTGATAATATAGTCATTGTATATTTTATTAAGGAAATTTTGACAATTACCACCTTTTATTATGTCCATTTTAGCAATTACCACCTCTTTATTTTAAAAAAAAAAAAAAAATTACCACCTTCTATTTTCAAAAACATCAAAAGTGAAAGGGGGGATGAGAATCGAGTTAGGAATGAGAAATTTGAGGGAAATAGGGAGGGAAGGGAAAGAATGGGCCCAAAATAACGTCATGTGGTAGTTGAGAGGCAAGAAGGTGGTAACTTTTGATGTTTTTGGAAATAAAAGGGGGTAATTTTCAAAAAAAAAGGGGGGGGGATAATTGCTAAAATAGACATAATAGTAGGCGGTAATTGTCAAAATTTCCTTTTTTTTAATTTCAAGTTTTTATAATTTTTACGCATGCAAAAATGAAGTCATATGTGTTTTAAAACATGTGTTGAAGAGCATAAAAAGTCAAATGGGGTAAAAAAATTAGGGATATGAAGTACAATCAAGTACCCTGTAGTTTGTAGTAGATCTATATGCATATATATACTGCTTGATTTTAAAAAAATAAAGTTAAAACTTTATTCTCCACAATGTACATGAGAAGAATTTGAGTGGTTTAATTTGACGAGTTGTTAATTGTGTAAAATGTTGCTTATCTTATTACAATCCATCATGAATTCATGATTTATTAATGATGCAAGAAATTGCATAATATTAGTGTTCACTTCTCTAGTAGTAATATAAGTAGTCAAGTACTAATGATTTTGAAACCAACACAGAAATCTGCTTCAAGTGTAGTACAAGGGCTAATATCCTCAGCAATCACTGAGAAATTTGATGTCAAACCATCAGCAACCCCGACGACGATCCGTTTAGCTGACCTTGGCTGCTCAGTAGGACCAAATACGTTCACTGCAATGCAAAATGTGATAGACACAATCAACACCAAAGCCAAATCCTTGTCTTGCCAAAACCCGCAATATCAAGTCTTCTTCAATGATCATGTAGGAAATGATTTCAACACCCTCTTTACCTCCATTCCCTCTGATCGTGCCTACTTCTCAGCTGGTGTGCCCGGTTCCTTCTATGGCCGTCTCTTCCCTGACTCATCGCTCCACTTCATCCACTCGTCGTATTCTCTACAATGGTTGTCTAAGGAGCCTAAGGAGTTGGTTAACAAGGAATCTGAAGCGTGGAATGGTGGGAGGATCCATTACACTAGTGCTCCGCGAGGTGTTGTGGATGCTTATGCTAGGCAGTTTTCTGAAGACATGGAGTTGTTCTTGGGTGAAAGAGCGAAAGAGCTCGTTGTTGGTGGGATGATGGTGCTCATTATGCCTTGTATTCCAGATGAAACTGTGGCTCATTCTCAGGTTCCTGCTGGGATCATGTTTGACCTCTTAGGTGCTTCCCTAGTGGATATGGCTCAAGCTGTAAGTACCTTTCTTTCTTTTTGTTTTAATGAATCAACTAGGTAATGCCCGAGCTATGCTTGATTTAATTGATTAGATTGTTTGATGGCTAATAAGACCTCGGCATAACTTATTTGCTTTCAGGTGAAATGAAATATTACAATGTGTTCATGATTAAATTTTGCTTCTAGTTTACATTCAAAAGTATTAGTTTCCAATGTGTTTGTGATAGTACTAACAAAACTGGTTCAAGATTTTTCTAAGTAAACTTGTTTTTTTTTGTCTTTCTTTCTCTTCCCTAATGATTTTAGGGAGTCATAAGCCAAGAGCAAGTAGACTCCTTCAACTTGCCAATCTACAGCGTTTCACCAATGGAGATGGAATCCTTAGTAAAGAAGAATGGGCGATTTAGCATTGAGAAAATGGAGTTAACTGATCCAACTTCAGGAAGAAAGAATAATGAGGGTGGTTCTAAGACTTCGGGTGATGGCAACGCAATAGCGAATCACTTGAGAGCTGGAATGGAAGGAATTTTGTCTAAACATTTTGGCGTTGAGAAAACGGATGAACTGTTTGAAAGGTTCTCTAAGAAGACCATTGAGTTTTCTGATAAGTTCAAGTCAAGCCTTAAGCAAGGAACTCAGTTGTTCATTGTCCTTGTCAAAAAGAATTAAGCTCCTTTTATAATCATTTCGTTCCATTGTTTTTCAGAAATTATAGGCCTTGTTTGGCAATTGGCTGCTGGCTGTTGGCTGTCGAATGATTTGACTGGCTATTTGTATTGACTTTTTTTTTGGTTGTTTGACTTTTTATTAGGTGATGCCCGAGCCATGCTTGATTTAATTGATTAGATTATTTGATGGCTAATAAGACCTCGGCATAACTTATTTGCTTTCATGTGAAATGGAATATTACAATGTGTTGTTGATTACATTTTGCTTCTAATTTACATTCAAAAGTAGAAGGAAAAATTCCCTGTTTCTCATGGGGGCATTTTCGTGAATAAATCAACAACTTTTTCATTATTGCGGGCTCCACAGTTGAATAAAGTTGTTGGTTTATTTACGAAAATGCCATGTGAGAAACATTTGTTTCTCAAAATGGTTCTCACCATGAGAAGCTGGGACATCCTCAAGTAGAAGTTTCCAATGTGTTTGTGATAATACTAACAAAACTAGTTCAAGATTTTTCTAAGTAAACTTTTTTTTTTCTCTTCCCGGATGATTTTAGGGAGTAATAGGCCAAGAGCGAGTAGACTCCTTCAACTTGCCAATTCACAGCGTTTCACCAATGGAGATGGAATCCTTAGTAAAGAAGAACGGGAATGGAAGGAATTTTGTCCAAACATTTTGACATTGAGAAAATGGATGAACTGATTGAAAGGTTTTCTGAGAAGACCATTGAGTTTTCAGATAAGTTCAAGTCAAGCCTTAAGCAAGGAACTCAGTTGTTCATTGTCCTTGTCAAAAAGAATTAAGCTCCTTTTATAATCATTTCCTTCTATTGTTTTTCAGAAATTGAAGTTTAAACATTTTTTTTGGGCCACAAATTTCAAGAATTTAGAAGTCTGTCTCTTGTTATAATGGGCTATATTATTGGGCCGGAATACCAAAAGAGATAGGAATTGATTAAGCTAGTTGTAGTAATTGTCTTAGTGTTTAAACATTTTTATTTTGGGCCCTTTGGGCTTTGTTCATCTTCAAGAAAGTCCATCTGTTGAATGATTTTGGGAGGGGAAAAAAATAACCACAACAACAACAAACGAATTAATTGTTAACAAATGACAACCATGGAAATAAAAACATTACAAATCAAAGAATAATGTTTTACCTTCCATTTGCCAATCACCGTGTTTCACTGATTAAAATTATAGTTTGATCCTCCAATTTTAATTCTAAACTAGTCTTCTTTCAAGAAGGTGTGCCAAAATTAGTATTAGATTTGTCAAAACCAATCTCCCTATTTGATGGTATAACTTCCATTTACAATGAAATCATAGTTAAAGTAAACTAACATTATGTTCTAAACAAAATACTTTGTAGATAAGCATGATTAGGACCTGTTCTGATACGATTATTTTCAGTTCAGTTAAATTCAGCTCCTAATTTCCTTCTCTTATAAAATATTCAGTTCAATTTAGTTCAATTTATTTCAGTTCAGTCAATTAGAAAAGACCCTTAGTATAGTTTGAATAAATAAAAAATTAGTTGTTTTATTTAAAAGAAAAAAAAAATTAAAATGTCTAGTATCAATTGGAGGTGTAGTTTTGTCTTATATGGTTAAAAAAAAAAATCTTCCCTTTTAAATTTGTTTGATTAGTCGGCATGGTTATCCACTTCAAAGTCATGCTGTTTGTATTAGTTGTGATATGAAATGTCACCTCCGTTTCTTTTTTATTGCAATAAAACAGTATTATTGGTGAGACATAAAATATTCCTTTGTTGCAAAAACTGATACAATATATAATTCAGTGTAAAACTCAATTATATAGAAAATATAATTAAATACTCCATATAAAATGCGGGATGGAAAATGTAATGAGCAGCATGACTAATTGACTATATATAATAAATAGACAACTACTGAATAATAATCTCATGTTAAGTTTGAATGAGTAAAATAAATGTCCCTTCTGCCTCAGTTGGGACTTGGAAGTTGAGACTAGCAAAGTAGTATTATAAACTTCATTAGTGACTAACATGTAATAATGGAAACCCTGATTTGATACGAAGACTAAATAATGGAGATGATAAAATAGATTCACAAAAATAAATTTTTTAATCTAGTGAGTAGTGACTTATACCAATAGTACATCCGGCCGTTTACTCTAACGTACTTTAATTTATTTTTTGACGTCCAATTTTTTTGTTTTTGTAACACATTTATATTTGTTTTAAAGTGCTTTTTTTGCCCGCCACAATATATGTATACGACAAGATGACACACAATAAAAACCAGTAATCGAAAATCTCTGACCGACTAAGTAACCCCTAACCGCATAAAAAACCTCACCAAGTAACCCATGACTAATCGAGTAGCCTCCGGCTACATCACCGCATGATCCCGGCCCCCTAAGCTAATCTATCTTTTATATGGAAACACTGTTGAAAAAAAAAATTTCATAAAAATAAATAAATTAATTAAAACAAAATTTCTAATTACAAGAGAGCCCATATGTCAACATTGAATTTTTTTTTTCCTGATTAAATAAAATTCCAAGATAATAAATAAATTTGTTAATAAATGAAATTGACTTCATAAGAAATTCTTTTAAATCAACTGATCAGCTTTGACAATTTATTTTTATATCCTTCTAAAAGAATAATTATTGTTTATTTCATGCAATACTATTTTAAGTTTATTATTTGAAATGTCAACCATATAGGAAGTCAACTATTTGACATATGAAAATAATTCCTAGGGAAACAAAAGAGTGGAGTGCAAATCTCAGAAGGCCTGCGACGCTTGAAAAACAAAAAAATGACCGCTTCTCACTTATAAGCTTAATTATGTTTAACATAAATAATAAGTTTAAAATAATCATGGATTATTTTTGTTTAATTAATTGAAAAAAGTCATTAGTACATGAACTTGATCATGGTTTATTAGTTTACAATTGTACTAAGCATTATTTTATGTGCTATGTTGAGTGAGCTTTTGGAGTCATCAAATTTTTAAAAAAGAAAATTATACCTTTACCCTAAGATTAAGAGAATGAATCCGCAATCCCGGAAGTAAAGTAAAAGCAATTAAGTATATAAATTATGGATAATTTAGCTTAAAAAAAGTAAACAAAAGATAATTTGATCAATAATCATGATTTAATTAAAATACAATATTGATTTTGACTTTTAATTTTTATTCGAATAGGTTTGAGTAATTGATATAGGGGGACTAGACCATTTTCTAAGTAATTTAGATTAAAAAAAAAAAGTAATAGTTGACTTATAAGGAGAAGATTAATTATGAATTATTAGCATTCAGTAGTATCACTATCACAATTATATAAATAATAAAAATAAAAATTACAACACCCAATTAATAAGTTGCATTCCATGAAAATTCCCATCAAAGGCTTTAAAAAAGAAGTCTACATTTCTTAAATCTATAACATGTTTAGAAAAAGAAAATTAATTAAACGTCTATGAATGATAAGTTTTCATCGGACTAAGCACAAGGCCGTATGTAAAGAGGGTTTTAACTACATAAAAATTTAAATTGATAATAGATGGAATAATTAATCACATACCAAAGATACATATAATAAAAATGTAGTCATGAATTAATGTCAAAGTATTATAATTTAATAATATAAAAAAAAAATTCAAATACAAATGAGTGAAATGATTATTATTATTTAAATTTTCACAAATAATACAGTATATGTTACAAAATTGTTCATTTAAATATTATTATTATTATTATTATTATTATTATATATATATATATATATATATATATATATATATAACCTTAAGATTATATTACTCTGTATTATTTCCTACTAATCCTACATATTTAAGCTCACTTGATTAGTTCATTGCTACATGCCTACGTACATAGCTTGATTGATGAAACAAATATTCAATTTTATTACATCAAATGATCAAATTATTACTGTATAATTTAGTTAAATGTATGTAAAATAAAATATTTGAAAGTAACATGAAGTTATAATATCATGATTCAATTTATTTACCCAAAAAAAAAAAATAATCATGATTCGTTCAATTCGTGCAGTTTTTCACTACTTTTTCCTCGAAAAAATATCATTATGTACTTTTAAATTTTGGGTCACTTTCTACTTCTTTTTTAGTCCAAAGTGATTTAATTTTGTAGGACATTTTTTTGGCCTAAAAAAGCCCAACAAGGAGGGAAGGCAAAAACCCAGCAAAGAAAAGCACTCAAATTGTGCAGTGTAACACTATTACAACTTCTTTTTTTGCATATTTCGCGTCTTTGTGTCACTAAATTTAGTACGTTCACGTATGAATTTTACATGTGGAGGTTATCAAAAGAATTACTTGTGGCTAAAGCATATTATTGAAGAAGATTTTTTTTCAATTTTTTGGGGGCAAATTATTGATAGCTATTTGAGTAGTGGAAGCAAGGGGCAAGAGCTCATTGTTGATCTTTGGGATTAAGTAAACGACTCAATCTCATTGTTATGTTGGCATATTACTCATACCTACTAATTGATGTACCTGAGACACATTTCCTCTAGCTCCCTGTTTTTCCGCCGGACCACACTCTTGACCTCCGATCGAGCTACGAGCACGAGTAGGTAGGTGGCTAGGGGGGCCGGGAGATGAGTGCGGTATCATTTTAGTCGCGTACTGTGATTATAAAGATAGCGTGGATGGTTGTGATGGTATACTCAAAATAAATATGGTGATGAACACCAAAAAAAAAATTGGTGATTTTTAAAAATGCTTTAAATATAGAAATATTATTGAAATTATTGAGGTAGGAATTAGAAATTTGGATTTCATGCATGTGGTGCTTGAATAAGTGTACATATATTTAGCATAACTTCTTGGTTTTAATCACTTCATTCTTCATTTTTTTTTATTTTTTTTTTTTGACATGAGCTCAAACTTGATTCTAATATCACCTACGTTAAGTTGTAGTAATTATTGAACAAATTTGTAAGGTGATGAACTTTTCATTTGATTTATGTAAAACCA